CGCACGTCCGTTTTTTCCTTCTCTTTTTTTCAAAAGAAGAAGGTTCCCCATGGACCACGGATCACATATGAAACAGATCGGAACGGATAGCACACTTGATAAGGGGGGGGGGAGAGGGGAGGTGGCAGTTAGTTACATTTGGGTGCGGGTCGTCGGATACTTGGGGGAAGGGTGACGGCGGAGGCAGGAGAAGGGCTCTCTCTCTCTCTCTCTCTCTCTCTCTCTCTCTCTCTAGCGTGCGCGAGCGTCCGTGTTATCCTTCTCTTTTTTTCAAAAGAAGGTTCCCCATGGACCACGGATCACATGTGAAACCGATCGCAACGGATGGCACACCTGATAAGGGGGGAGGGGGGGAGGTGGCAGTTACTTATATTCGGGTGGGGGTAGTCGGATGCTTGGGGGAATGGTGACGGCGGAGGAGGGAGAAGGGATCTCTCTCTCTCTCTCTCTCTCTCTCTCTCTCTCTCTCTCACACACACACACACACACACACACACACAGTGCGCGCCTAACATGTTCCTCTTTTCTAGCGGAGGAGGGAAAGCGGAGGGGCAGCCGCTGGCGGATGGGACTGCAGGGGAGCGCAGGCAGAGGTGCGCTGGTGGGAAGCAGTGGCAGAGGGGGTGGGGGGGGAGCGCTGGCGGAGGGGAGTGGAAAGGAGCGCTGGCGCAGTAGAGCGCTGGGGAAGGGGTGCGCTGGCGGAGGGGAGCGGAGGGGATCACTGGTGCGAAGAGCAGCGGAGGAGGGGGTGGAGGGGCGGTGGATAGGTGGAGATGGAGCAGCTGGGGGGCGGAGAGCCGCTGCGGTGGCGGAAGGGCAGCGGAGGAAGGAGGGGACCGCAGGCCGAGGGGAGCAGCCGGAGGGGAGCAGCCGGAGGGGAGTGGAGGGGAGCGCTGGCAGAGGAGAGCGCTGGCGGGGGGTGCGCTGGTTGAGGGGAGCGCTGGCAGAGGAGAGCGCTGGCGGGGGGTGCGCTGGTTGAGGGGAGCGCTGGCGGAGGAGAGCGCTGGCAGGGGGTGTGCTGGTTGAGGGGAGCGAAGCAGATTGCTGGCGAAGGAAAGCGCAAGGAACACAGGTGGAGGGGAGTGGGCTGAGGGGAGTGGAGAGGTGCGCTGGCGGAGGGGAGGAGGGGAGTGGAGGCGAGCACTGGCAGAAAAGAGAAGGGGAGTGGAGGGTAGCGCTGGGGAAGGGGAGGAGGGGAGTGGACGGGAGCGCTGCCGGAAGGGAGGCAGAGGGCAGTGGAGGGGAGCGCTGGCGGGGGGGGG